CAACTGTTGATGTATTACAGCTCTGGGTGTTCTCTGACACTGCCTATGGTGTCCACCAAGGGAATTCTTAAGAGTAGAGGGAGGACTGTTTGTCATGGCCAACTTAGCTCGCTTTACAAAGCCCTTCCCAAGAGGCTGCTGTAACGTGCCTGTGCAGCAGGAGCCTGGGAATGCAGCTGGCAGGACCCAGACACGGCTTCCTTGCTGACTTTCTGCCCTCCTCTGCCTTGGCACTGATGCTTCCTGCTCTGAGCTTGAGCCTTCAGGGATATGAAGGAGCGCTGCTGGCGCGGTGGGAGCTCATCCACAGGCTGATTTCTTGTGCTTTCCCTTCAAGATCCCCCCCAAAAAGAAAGATCCTTTACCCAGGGTGAATTTCCAGCTTCACCTTCCTTTCTGCTTCTGCTGCCATCCTTTCTACCTCTGGCAGAGGACTGCTGTGCCTCTCAGCTGGGCCAGGAGGAGCACTGAGATGCTCTGCTGATCCACCCAGATCCCTCATCCTGCCTGGGCACTCCTTTCAGGATGCCATGGCAGTCTCCTTGCCCTACCTAGGTTTAACAGGGTACCCAATTATTACTTTTGGTGGCACAACTGTGCTGCTGAATTAACAGGCTACTACAGTTGCTACTACTCTGTTGCAAAGCTCAGCCAGGAGAGATATCAACATTAACTTTGTAAAATTAAGGGAAAGGTAGGAGGGAGGGAAGGCAGCAGCACTGAGTGCTGGGGAGAAGGAAATCCAATTTTTCTCATCTCCAAAAAAAAAAAAGACTGAGCCGTGCCTGGTAAGGAGGGAGGTGTTTGAGACTGAACCTCAAAGACATGTCTTGAAATTGCATTTCTTTTCATCTCCTCAGAATTTCAGTGTCAAGAAGGACCTTTGGTCAGAGTGGGCTGGTAGTGCAAACCTGGTATGCAAACACTTCCCTGATCAAGTCCATCTGGGTGATGGCAATCAGTCAACACCAGTTTTACTTGGACAGAAAGCAAAGCAAAGTAAGTTGTGAGGCATTTTACTGTGGGCATAAGTTTCAGCACCTTTCCTGTAATATCCTTCAGTGTGTGTTTTTCTGTGGATGAATTACTCTCCAGAGAAAAACTACATATCATTTTTGTCAGCTTTTTGAGCAGTGTGCTAGTGACAGTATTGTTATTTGATCCATTTTAGCCTGCCTGCAATTAAGGGCTATGGAAGTGTAATCACAGAAGAGAGAATTCCCACATCTCAGTGTTTAATCTGCTTTTTCTTTTGTCTCCTCCTCATGTTCGTTTTGAACAGGGTGCAAACAGCAAAGAGATTTTCAGCTGAGAAATTATTTGGGCTTCAGGGGAGAGGAATGCCAGTGCAGCCTTGTGTACCTTGATGCTCTTGCTTTAGCCCTTAATTTTGTGGGAGATGAGGTGTGAAATGTCATCTTCTGTGACCCTGTGTTCTGAAGTTAATTAGAGGTAACTCTATGAGGCTGGATTTCTTTTTTTTTTCCCCTCTAAACTCCTTCAGGCAAAAATTCCTTCAGCCAGAAGTTTGGATGATATCGCCATGGATCTGACAGAGATGGGAACACCAAAAGTTTCCAAACTAGTGACTTTGGAAGGGAAGAACCAGCTTATTATGGCCAGCAATGGCAGTTTGATCTCATCAGGTAATACTTGATAGAAATAGAAGGTAAAGAAGTACAGGGGGGCTTGTGGATGTTAAAAGGGAAAACGAGGGTAGCTGACCATATATATACAGTGACATATGCAAAGGGTTGTATTAGTTGTGTCTGAGGCAGTAACATCAATGGTATAACCTGGTGTTTCCCCCCTGTAACTAAAGAAATAAAAATATGCTAGATGGATAAGCACCCACATACTCTTAGTCCATGAATAATGTGATATCAGTTTACCAGTCAGCCCTTGAATGACTGTGTCATCTAAGTCCAAGGGAAATGTGATCCAGGGTAACTTTAGGCACTTGTTCGAGGAGTTGAATTCCCCTGAACTTCCTCAAAAATGAACAGAGAGGAAAAATGCTTCCAAATAAAGCATAGCTTGAGAGTGGACTTTAGACCTCTCCCTTGAATGTGGAGGAGGGGAAAAGGGGGAAGGTAGAACCCTGGCTGCCACCTGTAAGTGCCTTGAGGTGAAGCCCAAGCAAGGAACCTTGGTATCCAGAAAGCAAAGTCAAAGCCAGAGTATCAAGTATGCTGTAGATACCACTAATACACTGACTTACATTTTGGGTGAGTTCCCATGCAAGTATATACATTGGGGGTTTGAAAAAGTGTGGATTTCCTAAAAGTCTGCTTGCTAGATGGCAGGAGAGCTGGGTGTTGTACTTCGTGTGTTGTTTTGCTGGGCTGGGCTGCTTTGGGGAGATCTTGGCTTAATTCACTAGGAAAAAATTGCTTTTATCTGCAAGTCTGATATAGAGAGTGTACTTTTTAGGCTCTCAGGATTCAGAAGTAAGTGAAGAACAAAAGAAAGAGAAAATTATGGAGCTAAAGAAGAAAGAGAAGCTCCTTCAGGAAAAACTGCTTCAGAAAGTTGAGGAGCTGAAGAAAATCTGCCTGCGAGAAGCGGTGAGAACTGCACCTTCCACTGGGGTCAGGGTGGGGGAGAGCCCTTCTCTGCCTCTGGACCTTCAAATGGAACCTTCTCTGTTCCCCAGGAGCTGACAGGCAAGATGCCCAAGGAGTATCCTCTCAGTGCTGGAGAGGAGCCTCCCCAGGTCAGGAGACGTGTCGGCACGGCGTTCAAGCTGGATGACAACCTGCTCCCCAGCGAAGAGGTGAGCACTGCACTTTGTTTTCACAGCAGAGGTGGGGTGGCCAGACCAGTGACCAAAGCCACTTGTAATAATCCAGCTCTTCCCTGACTGTTGAAGAGGAGGCAGCTGGGAAATTCAGCTGGGCACCACCTGCCTTTGAAATGACCAGGAAATTGGCTGTTCCATAGGCTTTAGGCTCCCCTGACCTCAACCCCTGATTTGGTTATGCTGCTTGAATTTTAATGGACATTGCTGCTAATTAGGGAAGAGGAGGTTCAAATTCTGTCTGGCAACTCTGGGCTTTGCTCAAGTGTTGATTTTGGTGTTGTGTTGAGGTTGTGTTGAACCCTGAACGCAGCAGGGGTGTGCTCTGTTCTCCTTGCAGAATCACCTGCCCATGAGCACAGTTGTGACAGGTGACAGCAGGAGGAGGTTTATCTCTGGCTTAAAGCAAGTTCCACCTAAATAAAAGCTCTTTATATTGCTCAAGAAGATGAGGTGAACTTTGCTGGCAGAGACTGACTTAGGAGATAGGGTAATTCAGATATCTGCAGTTTCTGGACACATACCATTCCCCCTCATTCCTTGTGAGAGTTGTTAACAAGCTCTGTCATCCTGCACTGCATCTGCCTTTCACCACAAGCTTGCTGCTCTGGCTGCAGGACTGGTGTAATCCATGTCTGCAGCAAACTGAATTTATTTTATGTAGGCTATTGAAGCAAAATCCTACTGACCAGATTTAATAGTGTGTTGCTTAGCACTCAGCACTGCTGCAGTACCTTTCATCTGAGCATCTCAAAGTTGTTTGCAAACGACTAATTAAAGTCTCCAGCTCCCTGTGACGTAGGTATGGTGGTAGCAATTTCCATTTTTATTTTCTCCAAAGTAGAGAGAGTTTTGAACAGACATTTTCAGGCTTGGATTCTGAGCAGGAGGTTTAGGTGTCTATACCTGAATTTAGCTGTCTATCTTATATCACCCAGTTTTGAGAATTTTAGGTCTGTCTTAAGAGGTCATGAAATCTTACACTGGTCATACAAATGAGATCTAAGAGTTTCATGTGCTGAAATTGTTTTGTGTATAAACTTTATTTCTATTACATGCTCAGGATGTTACTTCATTACCACAAAAGCATTTCCTCTATTCAATAACCTGCATTGATAATTTCAACCCAGAACACCAGCAAATAATTCATCTCACAAAATTGCAGGATCCCGCTTTGCAGGATTTGGAGAGCAACTTTATCATACAGCAAAAGCTGGTGGAAGCTGCAAAGAAACTTGCCAGTGAGCCAGACCTCTGCAAAAATGTGAAGAAGAAAAGAAAGCAAGAGTATGCTGATGCCATAAAAAAACTGCAAGAGATAGAAAATTCTATAAATGAATATAGAATCAAGTGTGGCAAAAAACCAACCCAGAAATCGACTCTTACTCTACCAGGTAAACAAGAGGATTACCCATATTCTAATGAAAACAGGGGGAGAAGTAGTTTTGTTTACATCTGCTCTGTATGATTTTTATCTTCTCTGACAGTTAAGTAAGAATAAAGAGATGCAATTGCTGCATCTGATACGGTGAGTGCACTGCTTGGAGGCTGAGGGCAGAATAAGCTGCAGTTTTAGGAGCAAGTGGAGACATGCTCCAGCACCAGGTAGAGTTTGAGGGTGCTGCTTTAGAAAGGTGCATCTCAGCTGAAACTGGTGTGCTGGATGAGTTCCTGGGCTCCTGGGTGCTGTTGTGTGTCTGAGCTGCCACATGCAAGACTTCCCTTCCTTCCCTTCTGCAGTGCTTCAGTCCTAGCAGAAATAGAGCCCGTGAGTTTTTCTGCAGGGTTGAGGGAATCAGGATCAGAGGTTTTGTTCCTTGATTAAAAATTACTGATTTCCAGGAAGACACAAGCAATGTTCAGGAGTTTATGAATGCTAATAGTGGCAAACAGATTTTTGACTAAATCCATTTGCCAGTGATGAGCAGATACCCATGGCCCTTCCCTCTCAAAAGTGTGTTTTTTCCAAGGGAGGTGGGATTCTTGCTGCTTCATAGGATGAAGCCTGGAAACCTTCTAGTGTCCAACCCACTGAAGGAGTTTGGGAGTAGCAAAAACTCAGGTATTGCCAGGTCTTATAGATTATACAGTGATGAACAGTTATAGGACATGTTTTAATACTCCCCTCCATGGAAGAGGTATATGGGTAATTTTTAATGTTTAATTGGTCTCTTTTTCCCACTTTGTCCCAGGGGAAATGCTGTTTTGTGGGGTCAGTGGGCTTTTTTTCTTTTTGGGAACTACAAGGTGGGAAAGAAAAGGCAGGATTTTTCTGCTGTTTATGTTGATAGCCTCTTACCCTTGAGATGACACCTCTTACCAACACATTCTCCCTGGAGGAGACACTTGTCCTGTGCAGTGCCAGGTTTCTGCTGGGGAAACTTTTGCCCTGTCCCATTCCCACTGAGAGTCTGGTTTGGATTCCTACCCAGCACAGAGCACAGCAGCACTGGGCTCTCCATCATCACAAACTGTCCACTCTGAAAGGCTGATGATTGCTATTTGATTTGACTCAGCTAGCTCCTGATGGACAGAGATGAAGAAAAGGTCTTTTTTTTCCAGTCTATTGCTCACCAATCTGGACACTAATTGTGGGAGTTCCTGCATTACCTGGGACATGTGACATGTAGCAATGACCAGGAAGCTGTTGAAGGCCCATGAGCAGTGAGAGCCCCATGAGACAGCATCTGTCCACAGTCATTGCTGCTTATTGCAGGCAGGTTTTTTTGTCCAGTTGTGCAAACAAGCAACTTAGGAGTTGGTCCTTATACATTTAGCCCATCATTTTGCAACATCAGGTTCCTGGCATCCTTGTTTGCTGCCTGAGAAGATGGACACAGCCAGAAGGGACTAGGCTGTGTGTCTCAGAGGTCTGCCATGTTTTGCTGTCTTGAAAAGCTATTCTGTTTTCCAAATTCTTAAAACCCCACCTCTCCTCACAGCAAATCATGATGGCAAAGGAGTAACATACCTTGCTTGTAATGAGTGATGGAGGTGACAGGTCTCATAAACAAAGTGGCTGCCGCCGTCTTTTATTTCCTCTCCCTCTCTACATGGAGGTTCATGTAGACTTTTTACCCCAGCAGCACTGTCTTGCTAGATATGGACTAGGAACAGTTTTTTTTTCTGTGGGTTGATTACCTTCTGTGCTGCTCTTTATCACCACCCTAATTTTTTCTGCTGTTGGTCTGTTCTCAAGCTTAGTGTGGACAGGCTATTTCAGAGCAAGGGATTGTAACACCAAGGTGAGAGGACAGGAGGGTACAGCAAAGCACTTGGAATAAATAACCAAATGTGAAAGAAACAGGGGAAAAAAATGCAACATTCATATGACAGTTAACTGCTCTTTGTGTTGGTGGAATTGGCAGTAACTTGACTGAAATCAGGGGAATTATTCTGGACTGATATTAATTTAATTGAAACAATCTGTATGCTGATGAAACAGTCGAAAGTGAATGCCAGATTTCAAAAGGCTTTTCCATACCTACCTGGTGGATTTCCACCTAGAGGAGATTAGGTGCTGGCAGCCAAGATTTGCATGTCTGTGTAGGCTTCTGACTCCTACTGAAGCACCAAAACACCCTGTGAGATCTGTTGGGAGCTGGGTGGAAAATGCCTTCCTGCTGCAGCTGGAGAGAAACCCTTTGGTAATTACATGGGTAGTGTGCTGCATGGTGGTGAACACAGCTGGGTCACGATACACTCCAGAGCAGGACTGTCTTCAGGCTCTTGAGGGCTGGACCTTACAGATTGCAATGCTACAGGTAGCAGCTGGCTCTGAAGCTGTAGAAAATAAACTGTGTGAGATATTTGGAAATTGCTGTTGGCTCTCCTATACTTAAAGTGCTTCTTTTCATTCACAGATGATATAATTCCATCTGAGAGCAGCTCCCTGTCCGATACAACCACCTATGACGATGGTAAGTTGCTCACCCTTTGCTTCCTGTGAAGTGTGTGTATTCAGAGACATTCCTCTGACTTAATGTCCTTTAGCCTACTGTTTTGCTGGCTTTTGATGACAAATCACTTCATAGCAGAGGAAAAAAGAGCTTAGTCAGGAATGTCTTTCCTCATAATGGGTTAGTTATTGAAGGTTCTGCTCTCTGAGCTGTCTTGAGACAGGGTGTTTGTTTTAACGTGACCAGCCTGCAAAATGAGGGCACTGGGGATGTCAGATACTTCATCCCAAGGACCTGGGCCAGAGGTGGATGAGCAGCTGCAGGATTTACAAGCTGGCAGGATTTGCCTAGCCCTTCTGTCCTCACAGCTGCTATAAAACTTGTAAAAAAGTAGAATAGTCACAGTTACTAATGATGTGTTTACGTTTGTTCCCTAGTGAGCTTGCATCTTGCATGGGTATGGTGTTTGCTCAGCTTACTCATTTCACACACACACCCAGGCACACACGCTCACGCCCTGTTCCACAAGGTGGAAAGGACTTGGCTTGCCTCTCCCTTAAACTGGATAATCATCATCTGGGGACAAACATTATCTAAATTGTTACTCCCTTTTCAGTTGGGGCCTGATTCTGATCTTACTGTGTTCCAGTTCTAGACTTGTAGAACAAATTTGGTACTTTAAAATGGAGTTACACCTGATTCTTGCTTGTAGAAGTAGAGCCAAGGCTTTGGCTTGTGAACATAGAATCATTAAGTCTGGAAAAGACTTCTAAGGTCATCAAGCCCAGCCATCAACCTAACACTACTGTAACCACTAAACCACATTCTGAAGTGCCATGTCTACATGTTTTTTGAAACCTCCAGGGATGGTGACTCCTCCACCTCACTGGACAGCTTGTTCCAATGCCTCATCCTCTTTCAGGAAAGAAATTCTTCCTAATATCCAATCTAAATCTCCCCTGGTGCCACTTAAGCCCATTTCCTCTTGTCCTCTCACTACCTGGGAGAAGAGAGCAACACCCACATCACTACACCCTCCTTTCAGGTTTAAACCTCAGCTTCCTCTTCTCCAGACTAAACAATCCTGGTTTCCTCAGCTGTTCCTCACAGGACATTTTCCCCAGAGCTCTCATCAGCTTCATTGCCCTTCTCTGTATCCACCCCAGCACCTCATTGTCTTTCATACACAGTGGCACCACATGTTCTGTGATGCTCACCCTGCATTTCTGTGCATTTGTTGGTGTTTCCTGTTGGCTCTTAGGGGACCTGGGTTGTGCCCTAAGCAAAGTGAGAACAAGGCTCAAACCAGCATCTTCCCAGTTGCCTTCAGCAGAATGGTCCCTCAGTTGTGTTTGCTCATTCAGTCACTTTTGAAGTCAGTCCCTTTTAGGTTGTATTTCAAAAGTAATCCTTAAAATGTCGTTTTTAACTAAAGAGCTGGAAGGTGGGGGAGAAGAACTGGCCTTTGGGGAGGCTGAGCTTGGGAGGGATCATGCTGCAAACAGATGTTTTCCCAGGGAAGTTCCACTTTGTGACCTGGCCCAGCCCCAGCCTGTGTGTAGTCTCAGTAGGAGTCGGTGCTGGTGAGGTCTGTATGAGCCTCCATGGTGTCCTGTCCATGTGGAGGAGAGCTCAGTGTGGGCAGGACAGCCCTTCTAGAGGCACAGCTTCTGTTTTTGTCTCTGTTGCCCAAAGTGTTTCTGCCTAGGGGCCACAGATTTGCATACAGGGCAAAAATATCAAGGATTTTGCTAACAAGAGACCTGTTCCTTTCCGACAGCCAGTGAATCGCTTCCTGTGCCAGCACAGAGACCCAGCTCTGCACAGCTTTCTCCAAGGCTTCCTCCACCAAAGTCCCTCGGGGTGGAGAGAATTCATCTCAGAAAGTCATCCATAAATGATCAGCTCTTGGAAACCAGACACTCCAGGTAGGGCACGTCTTGCTGGTGCTGTGTTCTCCACCTTGCTGGCATGAGATCTGTCTTGCTGCTGCCAAGACTCCTGTTACTACAGACACCCCAGTGGAGCCTCCTGCATCCACACTCCTCTGCAATTACAGGATTTGGTGATGGGAGCTAAATCTCCTGTCTAGTAACAGAAGTGATTAAGTGTGTTTGAGTAGTTGTCGTGGTTGAAGCATCTGGAATTTGTCTAAGTCTCCATGTAAGAGCAGAGTTACTGGGATTCAAGCAGCTACCATCAGTAGTGCCAGCTGCAGTGACTGGCTGGGGTTCCTGTGTGTGTTGGTGGGATTTGGGCACTTTCTGAGCTAGAAGAACAGTTCCATGTTCCATCGATAGCAGTAGCTCTGCTGATGGTTGTTGATTGTTGTATGGGTCTGGTCTGGTGGTAGTTGTTCTCAGTTTAAAGTTTCCCTCTGACCTTGATATTTCTTGGACTCTATCTGGTGTGAGCAGGCTGTTGAACGCATACTTAAAAATGTTCTAAAGTTTTGGACAGTGTCATGTCTTTGCATTTTCCTCACGTGGCCCTCAAGATAAGCAGAACAGTCTTCTCCATGGAGTTCAGAAGCAGAGTTACAGCCGTATGTAACTGTTGAGCTGTAGTGTGCTTTGTTTTAAAACCCAGTTCCTTTGCTTCTCTGTTACCTGCTCTGTCTCTTCTGCTTCATACTCCTGTCCTTTGGTAGCAGCTTTTCTACCAGCCATCCTATGAGGACCTCCTTTGAGCCACAAGAAAGGGTTGAATTGTTCTTTCTGTTAAAACAGTTCTGTTCTTTATATGGGGAAGCACATCCAGTTATGCCCTTGAACTGTTTTTTTACCCTTTTTGTTTCTTCAAGGCTTAGGGTGCACATATTCTTTATGCTGCAACTTGTATGGCATTTGACCTAACTGGAATTGTCTCCTCCATCCCAGGGACCCTCTTTCAACTCACAGCAGTCCGTACCGGACCCTGGAGCGGCCAGCCCAGCCCCACGGGGGCAGGAGCATGCCCACCACCCCCGTGCTCACGCGCAACGCCTACAGCAGCAGCCACTTGCAGTAAGCAGCCTTTGTTTCAGTGGGAGGGCCACCTTGGTCAGCAGAAGAATAAAAGGGAATGGTGTTAAGAGGCTAAAGGCTCCTTTGCCGTCTACGGCAAGGTCAGGCTCTCAAAATGCCCTTTTGGAGGCATCAGGTTAATATCAGCCACCATCTTCTGGCACAGCCCTGTACCAGCTTTGTGATGTACAAGTTAGAGCTTTTAGGTGGGCACAAAGCTGTCAGGAAAAACAGCAGCACACAGAAATGAGCATCTGTAATATTAGGAGTGACCTGGAAGCTGGCACACAAATATTGCCTGTCTGATCATGGAAGACTATAGGAGAAGGGTTGTCTCCAGATAGGCATCTGTAGGGTGTTTTAAGAAGTGATGCTGGTTCAGAAAGTTTCAGTGGAATACTCATGAGATAGCCAGGATTTATTTTTACATTTCCTGTTTTCTGATGGAGTGAGGCTGATGAGGTTGTATGGTCCATCAGTGAGTGGTCTCCCCACAAGAAGTTGTTCACAAGCTGACATGGGTCTGCTCTGGGTTATGTTCCTGTGAGCCTCCTGAAAAGCTAAGTGACCAGATAGAAGAGAGAGATCCCAGTTAGTGCCCTTACTGTGGGAAGAGAGCTGCAACGTGAGCTCACCTGTATTAGAGAGCTGAGAATCCATGCTAGGCAAAAAGAGATGCAATAGATCTTGTAATGTTATCAAGAGCTTATCGCTTAGTGGGTAGGGGTAGTGCTGCCTTGAGAGCCAGAGCCACAGGAATCCCATCTTCCTATATTCTGCTCTTAGCTCAGTTACTTGTGTAGCACTCATCTGCTTAAAAACTGAGAGTGTAAATCATTACAAAATGGGAGTTTGTGAGCTTTGCTGCAGGTATCCCTGCCACAGATTAACCTTGCTCACCATGATGGGCTTTTATGAGATCTCCCCTACCGCTGCAGCAGATCTAAACTTCAGCCAGGCTGAATTTCCTGCCATGCAGAGACTGTGTGGAAAGACAAGCCAGGGTTTACTGTGCTTTGGCTGGGGAGGCAGCGTGCCCGGCTTGCCTGCGCATGTGAGCGCTCGTGTGACTGCTTCAGCCAACATCTGTGTTGTTTCAGGCCAGATGTTTCCCCACACCACTGCCGGCAGCGCAGCGGCAGCCTGGAATCCCAAACGCAGCTGCTGTCGGGGAGCCCCGCCGAGCAGGCAGCCTTCGCCCTCTGCAGGGCCCAGCGGAGCAGCAGCACCGAGATCCTGGACGACGGCTCCTCCTACACCAGCCAGTCGAGCGCCGAGTACTACTGCGTGGCGCCGGCCCCCGGCCCCCGCTACGCCGCCCAGACGCTGG